GCTCTGTCTCTTTCTGTCTCTTAAAAATAAATAAATGTTAAAAAAAAAAAAATCCCAGGGGCGCCTGGGTGGCGCAGTCGATTAAGCGTCCGACTTCAGCCAGGTCACGATCTCGCGGTCCGTGAGTTCGAGCCCCGCGTCGGGCTCTGGGCTGATGGCTCGGAGCCTGGAGCCTCTTTCTGATTCTGTGTCTCCCTCTCTCTCTGCCCCTCCCCCGTTCATGCTCTGTCTCTCTCTGTCCCAAAAATAAAAACGTTGAAAGAAAAAAAAATTAAAACAAAATCCCGCGGATAGTTTTTTTTCCCCCTGTACATTGAACGATATCTTTCTTCCTTCAACTTCTGTGGTCCCTGGGAACCATGCTGAGTGAGTCTAATTCCTTCACTGTCCATGTAAGAGAGGGTGCGTCCTCTCCAAGTGTTCTTGTCACAAAAAGTCTAATCGTTCCTAACACGATTTGATTTTCAGACCTCTCCCCTATTCTGTCATACTCACCTGGATACTTTAGGATTTGCCAATCCTTTTAGAAGAAGGGGCCCAGAATTAAACGAAACACTTCATGTATGATTTGACAAGCTCAGAGTAACATAAGGCTATCACTGTCCATTGTAACTTTGCAGTTAACTAAATCTTTTTTTGGAAAATTTCTGGATTTGAGGGGTTTTTTTTTGTTTTGTTTTAGCAAAAACGAGTTTCTAGAAAAAAAAATACAATGAGAAAATAATTCCTTTGAATTAAAACATCGCTGGTTGGTAAAATACAAGTGCCCTTTATGTTGGATGGCGGGTAATGACATTTAGCTGTCACCAGCTACTCAAATCTTAGCTTTTGTCTTTCCAGTGGGTCAGCTGATACCTCCCTGTCAAAATGAAATGTTACACATTTTGTGAGAGAGGAGAGGATTCCTGAGCCAGAATCCATGCAGCCATTCAGGGAAGTTGGAGAGGGGACTACGCTGCTCAGTCAGTGCAAACACGAGGCGGACTGGGTGAATTTGGAAGAGGGATAATATGAGGAAGGACAGCAAGGGAGAGATGGAAAGATATATATATATAAACCCAATTCAGTTAAGGTTAGCGATTCACTTCTGACAAGGAACTTTCAGGGGTTACTTTGAGAGAGCTAGCTGCCTTCTTAAGATTAGTCCAGTGGAGTGGAGAGTAGAGGGAATGCAATTTTTGTATTTCTGGTCATGAGTCGCTGCTGTTAATTAAAGATTTTTTGAAAGTCTTTAAAATTCCAGTGACTGGATGTGGATCTATTGGTCTCTGTAGAACAAACTGATATGCCACCCTCAGTATATCAGATTAGGATACCTTAATATCTGATCCCCACAGCTCCTTGTAAAAGAGAGTCACTGATTGATTGTTAAATTTCATTTTCTTTTTGTGTGTGTGGGAAACTAAGAAGCAAACGTGAGAAGCTTTTTTTCCATAGTTATAGATGACTCCAGGGGCAGAGCCAGAAATAGACACCCCTTTTTCATACATAGTTCAATTTCCAGCCATGCTGAGCCCTGCCAATTGCAAACTGATCCGGTCTGTGCTGGCAATCTGTCTGCATGCAGTAAGTGATCATGTGCCACGCTTTCTACAGAGAGGCATTAGCGTCGGCATCTGGCAAAGGTTGTCCCTTCTAGGCTGCTGGACTGTGGCTGAAGCTCAAGGAAACACAGGGTTTCTCACTGTCTTTCTGGGTCAGGTTTACTTCGGGGGAGCAGTGCTTTGTCAAAATAAGAAATTATACCTTCTCAGGTCTGTCTTAGAAACACTCTCTCCAGAGCTGCAGGTTTCATTCAGCTTTCATAACGTTACAAGGCTTAATCTCAGTAAGGTTATCAGTTCTGTCATGTATTATAAACCCTCCAATCAAGGCAGTGGGAAACAGTGCTTCTATTTAATACCCGGAGAAATGGTGGAAGTCAGCGATTGATACCAACACAATGATGGGAAAAAGTGTCCAGAGGTGCTACTCACATAATCTCATTTTACAACATCTTGAAAATTCAATAGAAAGGACTCCACTAACAATACCATTACACACTACTGATTATTGTTCTCAAATGTTCCTAAAGCTCTAACAGCATAACTTAACAATAAAAATGCTCTATAAATACATCCCAACAGTGTACGTAACTGTATTTTTTTCCTTTAAAAACAAAAGGACAAGTGTTAGTCACAGTCATACAATTTTACTTTAGGTAGTTTCTTGGCTAAAATTACATTATCATTTTCTAACTTATAAAATTATAAATAAATGAGCTATTACTTGACATTGGAAAGAATTTCCAAGTAATTTAGAAAAGGTGGAGAATATTACATGTTGGGTTAACTACGCATTTACATGTGATCTTACATGGAGAGACATATTTTGTTTATCATGAGCTCTACATTATTTCTGAAAGCATTTGGGGAGAAAGCAAACCTTCCTTGCAGAAAGCATTTATAATTTTCAAATTCCCTGCTTAAATGTGTCAATAATTCTTGGTTTTATCTTTTGCCCTTAAGGCTTTTGGAATAGGTATATTTTTCAAGTGAGTTAAAATTGTAGGAAGTTACTAGTATATCCTGTCCAAGAAACAAAAAACAAAACAAATAAACAGCTGAGAGCCATACATGCAAAATACGCTCCAGCTCTTGAAAAAGATTTCAAACTGGTTTAGGAAAATATATTTTATGCTTCCTGTTTGTGCTCACACCATGAAATGAGGCGAGAGTACATAACAGTCTATGTTATTAAGAAAAACACTAATATCATTTCCCTAAATATATCACATTATTTCATTCTGTAATGGAGAGAATTAACAATTTTGTTTACATATTAATATTTTTGACTTAACACTAAAATATCTGATAAAATTAATTTTTTAGTTTAAGTTTCAATTTAAGTTATTTTAAGGCTATCGATAACAGTAAACTATTAAGTTAGGAACATTCTCAAAATGATTTTTAAACCCATTGGGGAGGTCCACGTCCTTTCAAATAATTCATATTTATATCAACACTCACTTTCAAAGTATCACGGAGTTCCTTAAAATTTATTTAAAACATCTAATGCAAATTAAAATTTAATAACAATTTTAAAATAAAATCTACATATTTTATTTTTAATAATGTTTTAATATATTTTAGGTCATTACATATTATCAATTTCTGTCATTGAGAAATCTGGTGTATTATTAAAATATATCTGAAATATTTTCTTATAGCTGGACTACAAGGACAGATTTCTAAAACCTGTTTTATACTAAGAATCTGTAATACTACCACCTTACATTTTATTTAAATACCTTTGAAAATGATTATTTTAGGCCATATTCCTAGATGGTAATTTTACATATTCAGTCAGATTTGTTTACAGTTTTTATAAACAACATTTATTGGAGAATGCAAGAAGCATCAGAAGAGAAGTTTTAACTCCCTCAAACATAGTAAAATGATCAAACGTTTGGAATAGAAGCAAATTGTAAAAATGTGTCTTAACTGAGACGCTTTGCCCTAAGGAACCAAGCCTTTGTGTTTGATGATTCTTCCATAAACCTGAGTTTATTTTAAAAAATTGATCCTTTTAATGTAAGAAAGTTGATGGAGAAAGAATTCCACTTACAAGTTTTTCCACTAGACACTATAAAACTCCATCACAGCACCTCACATTTTTGGCATCTGCAGTTGAACCCCACAGTTGAATGTTGCCAGATCTTATTTTGAAAAATTGTGTTGTGTCTACAGAATGCAAATCATCTGAATGGAAATGGAAAGCTTGCTTCGTCTTCGATGCTCCATTTCAGTTGAACGGTGAGAAGACCCAAACTTCAACGAGACATGAAGAAATTTATGGAACGAACAAGGCCAAGAAAAGAGAGGAAAGGATAAGAAAAGGCAAGAGTAAAAGGAAAAAGCAAAGACAGCTAGGTTTGATTTGGAAAGACAGATTCCGTGACATGTTTCTTAGGGCCATTCTACGCAAATAGTGTTGCCTTTCCTGTCGCCATTGCTGGTCCACAGCGTATATATACTCTCTGTGATCACCCTTATTTGAAATATTTGACAGTTGATTAATTATTCAGTTTCTCATTTTTTCTTTGATGTTTTAATGCCTTTCTCTTTGCTGAAGAAATTAAGACTGTCACATATCAATAAGGAATGCTTTTCTAAACTTGGTGTTTGTATATTTTAAAAAAGATACTGGAGTATAACTTTTATTAACCTGAAAAATATAAGCAGGAAAACTTACTAGAGAGCTGGATCATCCTTGATGATTCTTAATTAGATAGAGGTTAAATACTGTTTGCTTCTATATACAGTTCTTACAATGCAAAATTATTCTTTACTGTTTTCCATTATATTTCTAGATACTGTACCTACCTAAACTCTCATTTCACATTGGTTTATATTAACTCTCTAATGAACGATGTGTTCACTTTACTGAAGGACTAAGTCAATCTGAAAAGTAAAAGCAATAGAGAATTCTATTTATATAAATAGGAGGCTTACGTGAAATTCAATCTTGTACGTGCTTTATCTTTCTCAGGACAATGGTTCAAAATCAGCCTTACAACCAGCAAGAGAAGAGGAGAGTAAAAAACTAAGGAGTTCTAAATAATTCATGGATGTGCATGGAAATAATGTTTCAAAACTGAAGTCAGAAGCAGCTGCTGGGGGAATTTTTTTTTTTTTTTTTTAAGTTAGAGTCAACAACAGTCATATTATTTCAGGTTAGCTCACACCATTGTGTGGATTTACAATGCAACATTTGTATGTTTCCACTGGTTTGAGAAAGAAAATTTAGAAGACCTAAAACACACAAACAGCAAATATAAAGAATCCTTTCTAGTTCTCGCAGACGGTATGATTCAGTAGTAAGAAACACCATTCTGCTTGCAGAATCTACTCTAAAACATGATTCTGTATTTTCAAAAGTAAATCCAAACCTTGGCCAAACCTTTTCGGACAGTAAATCCCTCTTTCACAGCATAAATATAAAAATAAGGCAAGTTATTGTTCCTGGTTTTTTCCACATTGTTTATTTCACAAATGCCCTACTTATCTTGACATAGGTTTAGGATAAGGGTCATTGGAGAGGCTCGACAATAACGGAAAAACCACTTATTATCTGGGTAGGTCATTCACAACTCTAAGATTGAACAATGATGTAGAAGCAAATTATTTATTTTTCAAATTAAGAGTGTGAACATAGCGATGGAAAAAGGAAAGTAATCAAAACTGTTTGAGGCTAAACATTGAAGTAAAACAGGATATTCTTTTAGATCATTTGGAAAGAAGACAATTGATAACTATGTAAGTGGAACCATTCATCTTCAATTTATTTAAATTGGTTTTCCTCCAGCCCCCTTTGCATGGCAAGAAACTCATGTTCTAGCTCCCTGGACCAACATAAAGATAATATTTATAAATATATTTACTGGATTTAGATATAGATGAATCTAAATAACCCTAATATCTCCAGTTAAATAATGGATCATAGTGAGCTAAGTGCTTTGTGGAAATGTCTGTAATATCATAGATTAAACAATACATTCCTGAAAGTTACTTTTATACTAATATTTTAAGATTATTTATGTTAAATATTTTCCTTAAGTGATGATGATGTTGACCCTGTAATTAAGTGGGTCTGGGTTGGGGGGGGGACATTTGTCATCTTTAACATTCAGGAAAGAACTACTTACTTATTTCATATAACTCAATGAAAAATTCCAAATTTTTAAATTAATCTCTCTTCCTACCAGTGCATATGTTTGACCCTATTTAAACCCTGAGGTTATAAGCAGTATATTTTGAGGTTTTTAAAAGATTTTAAACAGACTAGAATAATTTATATTGTTGAACACTAAAATGAATTATAATATTTTAAGTAGTAATATCAAGAGTTAGATAGATTTCTTAATTCACATTGCTAGCTAAAGCTCAGATATTGGCCTTGTTTTATCCTGAGCTATGTTCACTCATAAGATTGCAAATAAGAATTATTTGAAACAGAACTCTACATACACACCTGAAGTTGCAATTTTTTCCTTTTAATTATCGTAGGTATCATTTCCTGCTTTTACTTGTTATTAGTTCTGATACCCCAAAACGAATCTCTGTGTGCTTGATTCAAATCAAAGCCAGACATTCCATCCGATCTATGACTTCCATTAATCAGCTCTCCCATAACATTACAATTTAAAACAATGCCAACTGCCCCCCTGCAAGTTGTAGTTCATAGACAAAAGCCATAATGCAACACGTGACTTGGCAGTGAAAGCATGGTGGGTGGGGGGATGCGGATTTGATTCTGACTTCATTGGGTGCTTGGCATTTCCATTTTGATCATCTTGATATTGACCGGCTCTGCATTAATTAGCCTATGTAGATAATATGTGCACAACACAAATGAACTGGCTTTACTTCTTTTTTGTTTTTCTTTTTACCACGTCCAGGTTTTCTGACCTTCCTTATTTCTCAGTCCTGGGGGTTCTCTCTCGCTCCGTCTCTGGCAGTTTACGGAGAGCGTGTGCTGTGACGGAGATCGACAGAAGCTGCCTTGTACATTCGCTATCCCATGCAAACCCCACTTCCATTTGCACGTGGGCCAGGAAGATCCAGGCGGTTTCATCTTCCTGACTAGCTTTCATCTCTCTGCAACAGCTGTCTGGTGAGCTCTGTGGTGAAGTCTCACGCAGGATCTGAGAAGAAGTGTGTTCTGATCAAACTGGAGTTGTCAACTCGAGTGCAAAAGTGAAAAGTCTGCCTTCCAGACATAGGCACAAAGATCGGCAAATGACCAGCTCTGCTTTGCGAAAAATCAGAAAATGATTTTGAGTTATTTACATGCTAATTTCAAATGATCTCTGGCTTGATCTGAGAAAAAGAAGTATGTAAAAATGGGCTAAAAACTGCATGTACAGATTTTAAAAAGTGAATGTTAATTTTTCTATTAGCACTTTAAAAAAATTGGCTGACAGCGGGTGATAACGTTAGATTGGGCTCCCCCATCTGCAGTGAGCAGCGTTCTGAGGTTACAGGTTTCTACAGACAGAAGAGCAGGGACCTACAAAAAAAAAAAATCGTTACTTGGTCAAATGTTTGGTTTCAAAAAGAATCGTTTGTTGGTCTACAACAGATGTGAGAGCATTTCAGGGAAACATTTACATATTTGAAACACTAGTTATGATGGGGCACTTTATTTCAGTGTGAGGGAAGACGTTTCCAACTTTAATTTTCTTTCTGGTTAGCGTTTAAGTAGGGGGGATGAGGGCCACTTCCTCGTTCTCAGAAGTAGACTTACCTACTTTTTTCCCTCTAACTTAAGAAGTGAGAAATCATTCAATTATGCCGACTATATTTAACGATTAGAAAGATTTTTCTATTCCAGGTCTTAAACTGTTGTGTTTCTTTTAACTTGGAGATATAGCTAATGGATAGCCATTATAGTTATTTTTTTTTAAATTTCTATTTTCTCATTGTGTTCATGAAGCAAAGAGGAGAAAAGCTTTTGTTTCCCCTAAAGGAAGTTGTAAATTTTGAAGTATGTTTTTATAAATTCTCTCACATGTATACAGTCACTATTTCTCATCAATCGCATATGTGCAGATACAACAGCCCACGAATGTGTCTGATTATTGGGCCATCAATTTCACTCTTACCAAATAAAGTAGTTTGACTTTATTATTTACATGATTCTTAAAATATGTAGGCCAATGACCACACAAATAAACACGGGCTTTTGGATCAGGAGACAGCCTGGTGTTTATGAACAAGGTTCTTTGTGTTTTTAACAATATCTGGCACATGGAAACAAAACCCTTTACTGAAACATGGAACCTGGATATTTGTGTACTTCGTGATCTATGCTGGGCAGGGGCCCCATCCTCTGCTCTGATGGCAGACAAGAGTATGAAAATCTGTTATTGCGTTTTGACATTTTCTTTGCACGATTAGGTCAGTTGGTAAGTCTCCACTCTGCAGTTCTTAGAAGCCCAGATTTCCTGTTACAATGCAATGTGGTTCTGATTACAGCCTTACTGAAGCCCAGACTTAGTACCTGTGTTCTGCTAGCAGTTTTACCCCTCATTTTCCGTGTTAACATGAGCAACTTATTGACCTTACCTTCTCTTCTTTGCCTGCGATGGTTGGGGAGATTGCGAATCCAAGGGGGTCACAGTGAGGAAACTGAAGACAGCGTATTATCCACGTTCTGAGTTCTGGTACAATGCTCTCAAGCTGGAGAAGAGGACCATAATACACTCAAAACAAAAGTGTTTTTTCTAGTATAGAGTTGTGGCTCATCTGTTTTGGGCTTTAATTGTGACTGTCACCACAAGTTCAGTTCGTGAGACAACGTGATTATCGTTCAGAGGAACACTGCCAAAGACCTTACAAACCTCTAGTCCTACGCAATATCATATAATGAATCTGGTCCATGGAACCATCTTTGCTCACATGACTCACACAGCTTCTTACGTAAGTTTGCCTTAGCATGTAAGCTGACTTACACAGTTTTCCTGCCTTTCATTCTCGCTCCCCTACATTCCTTCCCTCACAAAGTAGCCTGGATTTTCTTTCAAAAATGAATGTTGGGGTGTGTGAGTGGCTCAGTTAAGCGTCCGACTCTTGATTTCAGCTCAAGTCATGATCTCACGGTCCTGGGATCGAGCTCTGAGTCCAGCTCCATAATGGGCTTGGAGCCTGCTTAAGATTCTCTCTCTCACCCTCTCTGTCTGTCTTGCCCCTCCCTGGCTCACCCTCTATCTCTCCCTCTAATAAAAAACAAAGTGAAATAAATAAGGTTGTTTCTCTCTCTTGCTAGTATCCTCCAATGACTTCTCACTGCACTCTGATCAACTTCCAAACTCCTTTTTGTGTATTCAAATGCTTGACATGATCTGGGCTGTACCATTTTCTTGACCTCAATTCTTACCACTGTCCTTCTCTTCGCACACTGCATATCGTGCACAATGGCTTTCTTCCTGGTTCTGCCTTGAAGCCTCTGAACTGGCCATTCCCTCTTCTTGAGAGCCTGTTTTCCTGCCTCATCACACTGATGACTCCTTCTCATTCAACATTAGGTCTCCGCTGACCCATCTTGTCACTCAATTCAAACAACTCTTCCTGGGCCTCCTGATCTAAAGAATTCTCCGAGGGATTCTCTTTCAACTACCTATTTTATTTCCTTCACAGCACTCACTACACTTTAATATTATCTGTTGCTTCATTGACTTACTAGTTAATTTTTTGTCTTCCTATGCAGGCATGTGTGCTTCCAGAGAAAAGGGACTTTATCTTATTCTCAGTATCCTTGTTGTTGGGTGGATAGACAAAAGACCGATCACTGAGTTTATCCAAGTCCACTAACCAGAAAAAACTCAAGACTGGTTTCAGAGTCTAACTCTAGTTATACTCTAGTATAACTAACTTAGAGCTCATCCTTTCGTTCCTCATTTCTACAGTTGTCTTAATTCTTGTCAGGGTCCTACATTCACTAGTTTTCATTATCCTGAATTCATTTAGTTTCTAGTAGCCCCTAGAGAGAGAACCTAACACATGCTAGGTACTTTGTGAATGTTAGTAGAACTGGAATCTGACATTTTATTTTAAGTTGAGCAACCTCACATTACCACATAACATATTAACTCTACTAAAAAAACCATTTTCTAAACATAAAGCAACTAAAATTAGTGACATTCCTCCTGTTTTAATGTTAATACCTTAAATCTCTATGATGGGAGTTTTTATAGGAACATCTTTCAGTGAGGTTTTACATATTACTGTATCTGCTTATATAAAATTTCTTTAAGGAAGTGTTCTTACATCTCCTTTTTTAAACAGGATTAAAGTTAGGTGACTCACCCAAAGCTCTGGTGAGCCAGTAGTAAAGGAAGTACCTGTGATTCTAATCTCTCCCCTCTCTCCCCCTGCCCCTCCCTCCCCTACCTTCCTGCCCATTCCCTTTTTAAATGTTTTCTGCTATTTTGTTCCCTTTGGATTTTTTTTTAAGTTTAAATTTATTTCCTTTTTTTTCAACATGTTATTTAAAAGCATCCACAAGCAAAAGCCTTGGGAATGGAAAGAGAGGCGTGGGGGAGAGATTGTGGTAAAAATCGGGAGATCTCAGAACTTCAAGAAACCTCTTCACCAAAGAGAGCAAAGGCCGGGAAATGGTGATGTCATTCCTTTTCAAAAGTAGCCGGAAAGAAGGCTGGAAATGACCCATGCATATACTCATCGTTTATGGCAATGCTTTCTCTGTCGTGCACCCAGATCTTCAATGCCTCTCTTCTAAGCCATCCCATGAGCTGCGCCGCTGAGGATATTTAAAAGCTCTGCCTATCAAACACAATTTGATTGGCAGCTAAAGACTTATTTTCAGATGTGATGGATAAAGCAGAGGCTCTTAACTTCCTTTTCTGCTTTCTCATCTTCATGACACAGTTTTGTTTTCTTCTTTTAGGGAGGATAACATGCATTTTTTAAAAAAAGTTTGTTTATTTTGAGAGAGACAGAGACAGCGTAAGTCGGGGAAAGGCAGAGAGAATGAGAGAGAGAATTCCAAGCAGGCTCAGCACTGTCAGTGCAGCGCCGGGTTTGGGGCTTGAACTTACAAAACTGTTGTATCATGACCTGAGCAGAAACCAAGACTTGGACACTTGACCGAAGGAGCCGCCCAGGCAGCCTGATAAAATGCATTTTTAAGGGGAAGTGATGTTGCAACCAACCAACAGGAGTGGCAAAGATGCCTGTTCTCATTTGCCCAATGAGAACCATAAAGCAGGGCAAGTGGGCAAATACCTCAGGGCGATTCAGGGCGATTCACTGCAGCCCGACTCTCAATTCCAAGCAAGTATAAGCAGGGAGAAAATGACAAAACATTGAAATGTTAATCTTCAAATGCTCCTTGTAGACTTCCGTTTTTCTTTTTTTTGTGCATCTGGAAGGGTTCAATGGTAGGAGGAAAATGGGCTTGAAATGGCTAAGGAAATGCTGTGAAGAAAAAAGCAAGCAATTGGGAAAAAGGGCTTCTTCCATGTGGGGAAAAAAAAAAAAAGAATAAGGAAAAGGAAAAAAAAGGACGAAGCGCTCTGGAGCCGGCAGAGCACAGGGATTATCGTCCTAGTCTGTGCCCTTCAGGGCAGGGCACTGAGCCTCTGTGAGCTTGCTTGATGTCTTTTGAGGATAATATTTATTTTGCAGTTTGTTTTGAGGTCTAATCTAGTACTAGGTTCATAGGAGATATTCAGTAGCTGATAGTTTTAAAAGTCATGGAGGTAATTTGAACAAGGTCAAAAATAAAGAACTGGGAGTCGCTTAGAGCAGGGAACACAGCATTCTTTTCCAAGTCTGCAGTAAAGGGAGAGGTGTCTTTACATAGGACCCCTTCAGCTATACAGAAGCTATCTTCAGCAAAAACCCTTTTGAAAGCTTTTCCTGATATTAATTATAAAATAATATGGGCCTAAAAAATCAATAGTGACACTGTGATCAGTTAGAACATCTAGAAAAAATGGTTTGGGTGTCAGGCTACTGGCTTGTTTATGGGAAAAAGAGGGAAAAAAAGGGTGAAGAGGATTTTTTTTTTGTTTTTTATTTTTGTTTTTGTTTTGTTTTGTTTTTTCCTCCTGAAAGCAAGGTTATTTATGTTATGAAGTGAATTATTTGAATGCTTTTTTTTTTTTTTTTTTTTTTTAGTTTTCACCTGGTTATATTAGCAGCATATAGACACAACCTCCCTATACTCTGGGAGCTTGTTGTTAAGTATTTTTCTTTCATATTATTAAGAAAATATAGATAATCGTAGATATTTTTTTGTTAGGTTGTGTTTTCATTGCAACTTGTTATGTGGAGAGTAAACTTCAAACTTGTTACAAATTCACCAAACCAAATTCTGAGTTTCCTAAGGGTTTTGCTCCAATATAGTAGTAGCTTTATATGTTTTTTATTTTTATTTTGTTTTTTTACTGATTTTATTAGTAATATGTATTAACTGATTAAAAACAAATAAATGCAAAAGCAGCCTCTATAGAAGTTCTATGGAAGAAAGAAAAAATAGTCTGTGAGTTTATTACTCAGAGATCATTGTTTTTGGGGGTATATTATCCAGATTTATGTAGTCATTCCCAATTCGTTTTTAAATGAAATCATGCTATGATATTTTCCATTTCATTTTAACTTAAAATACACCTCAGGCTTTCAATACCAATAAATATAGATTTGTCGTAATTTTAATGATTTACATAATAATCCGTTTGAATGGATACACTATAATTTATGTAACCAATTCTCCCTTTGGAACTACTTAAATCTTTATTTTCCCAATTCTTTTTTACTACTAAAACGTATACTTCTATTTGTCTGATTGCTTCCATAGGATTAATTCTTAACAGTGAAATTTCTAGGTCAAAGGAAATTCATATTTAAAATTTTGTTGATATATATTTTCAGACTGTCCTCATGAAAACTGTTCTAGTGTTTACAAATGGCTTTTGTCTCTTGTTAACACTGGACATTGTAATTCTTTTTAATCTGGGCTTATCTAGTAATATAAAAGTACCTCATTTTCATTTGCATTTCTTTATTTACTGTTAAGCATGAACAATTTTTTTGTGTGTTTATTGGCTGACACTCTACTTTTGTGAATTGCCTAATCATGCCCTTTGACTATTTTTTTACTGGCCATTAATCTCTTTTGCAGACCAATTCTTCATGGCATCTTATATATTGGAGTTATTGCTGGTCATTTTGTTAATAATTCTTTTTAAATTCATTTTATAAATTCACAGGACCTGAAATTTTAAGTAAAAAATGACACAAATTTGTATGGGCAAAGAAGGGTGGGGACATATAAAGAAATAGAATGGACCTTAGGGAAAGATCCAAGGTCTCCAAAATGTTATTTGAAATAGTAGCTAAATTACAACAGAAGAGAGGTGGATGACTCATAAAAATTATTTTCCAGTAATTAACGTTTTAAAGAGTTGGCCATGTTCTAGAACAGGACGCCAGGATCCTCTTCTGTGGGACTTTGCAAATGGGTTTCATACCTTTCTATCTGGCTTGCACAACGTGAAAGGATAGGCCAGATGACTGTTCAAGATGTACCTTTGCCCAAAGTACTTTTTTTTTTTTTCCTATTTTTACATATAAACTTGAGATTCTTAAAAGCCCTAATTCAAGGTACTTTTTAGTTCAGTTACCAATGCTATGGACGCTGTCCTTTCTAACGGGCT